TAGTACTACTATATATTTACTTTTATTATTTATTTATTTTTATTTTTTTATTTTTTAGAGGAAACATCTACTTGCTGATCCACAAGTTTACCTGGATGTAAGTGTTTTTAACATAAAAATTCATTTATTCCAGTTGAAGAACAGAAATGGATACAAATCTTGCTCTTTTTTTTTTTTTTTTTTTGAAAAATCGGATCTGATAGAGCATTTAGACCCAGAAACATTGGCATGTGAATTTATATAACACTCCTGGTTCATACCAGTGTAAACACAGTAAATCTATAGTTTAAAAAAAATGTCACAGAGTAGTAAACAAGTTTAATTTGCAGAAACTAAAGTTTTACTGCCTTGAAATTTAAAGTCTATAAAATGCTTAAATTTACAAACTTAGGATAATTTATATAGCAACATAAAATCAAATTCTTATTATAATTAGTGTACCACAAATTACCTGACTGTAATGTTCACTGAATCATTTTCAACAGTAATTTTAACACAAGAAAAAAACTTTCTTCTAACTTAAAAAAAAAAAAGAGAAAAAAAAAATATTTGCAGATGTAATGCAGCCATAAATGTTTAATGTTTCACATGCATAATCTTGAGCTTAATGCTGCTCTGTTTTGTTCAGGTTTCATAGCCTTGAAGTTTACATTCTATAATATATTAACTCTCAGATTTACGCAGACTGTTTTATATACCACCTTAACATAAAATCACATCCTAATTATCATTATTGTTCCACAAATTACCCACCTGTAATGCTCATTGAATGATTCTCACCAGTAATTTAAACACGAGAAAGTTTGTTCTATTTAGAGATTTTATAGGGCCATAAATGTTTAATATTTTGCTTGCATATTCTTGATGTTGCTCTTTTTCTGTTTAGCCAAAAATGAAGCGTAATTGCCTATTAATTGCCCTGAAGTTTATAGTCTGTCAGAGGATATTGCTTGGGAGTTTCGGCACAGTATATCAAGAATTTTATGCTGAAAAGTTTCCAGTATCGCCTAATAATCTACTTGTATTCCCCTATATAAACATAATGATGAATGTGTGCCATGTAAACTGTGACCTGGGTTTGTAAATGGGTTTCAACATGACCCACAATACATTGCTGTCAGCTCATTTCCCTGCGAGTGTAATTTCAGAAGGGATCCAGCTCCAATCTGTTTATTTCTAATTTTACCGTATACATAGAATAACAATGACTGGGAGAATATTTGCCTCGCACGCAGCCCCAATAACTGGAGAAGATGAATGCATGGCATAGTACTTTCATACCTGCGAGTCTGTGTGTGCGTTCACTGCAACGCCCCAGTTTAGCTGCCTCCTCTCCTCTGCCGTTGATGGTATCTTATTGTTACCAGGTGGCTGCCAGTGACAGGAGCATTGAAAAACTGCTGACAATAAGCCATGGCTCATAGGAAAACGTGAAAAAGGAGGACACGCGAGCAGTGTGGTTCTTCCTCACGAAGGCATAGGGGTTGTTAGAAGGGAAAGGAACGAGATCCCCGGGGAAACGTTCCAGCGAGTTCCTGTGCTTTAGATGATGGTTCATAAACTACCATCACCCTCGAGGGCCTGGGGAGCCGAAGCTGAAATACTTCAGAAGTGCCAATAAATGAAAAAGTGAGAATTAGAGGAAAGTTTGGTGAGCCGAGGGGTGTAATGGAAACCGATGGACCATGGGAAAGAAACCCCACTGAGGAAGAAGTGAGGTCTCGTGTGAAAGATCTCTGTCATTCACACTGAGAGGGTTTGTGTGCCGTCGTACTAAGCAGCTGTGGAAAATGAGCACTCATTGATTTCATGCATATGGCACCCACGCATGTAAACACACACACACACACACACTGAAGACTCCATCTCTACAACACAGCCATGCTAGCGTAACAAAGCCACAGGGAATAAAGCATTCTTTTCCGTTCTAATTTAAGAATTTCTCTCATTTAATGCCGTGTATTACACATGATTGCACACATCAAATGATTATCTCTGCATCACGACACCAAGACCATTTTTCCCCAAGAAACTGAGAAGAGTTCTCTTGAGCGCAGATGTGACAAAGAACATCCAGCAACACGAGATTTTAGTGTAATACAGGAAGGCTACAGATGGACTGCAGTGTGTCTGGTGAACATGCGGTTACTTAAGCAAAATCCTGCAGGCGTGCAGCGTGAATATCATATTATAGGATATAGGCACAGATCTGTTAATTACTGTACTGCCTCCTTTAATTGAGATTAATGCAGTTCAGTGGGCATAACAGGAAAGATGCCAACATTATAATCCAATCCCGGGTGCCAGGTGTCGAGTTTTCAATCGCAGTGTAATAGAAAACTTTTGCTTCTGCGTACAACTACTATCTGATGTGGTCTTAACCTACTTGCAACACATTAAAAATAGATTCCTTTTCTACTTGAATTAGTTGGTTATGTAGACAGATTTACTGCTAATCCCCAAGGGACAAGCAGCTGTTTCGCTCCTTTTTTTCTAACACGATTGTGCCCTCTAGTGAAACTGTCTTGAAAATAAAGCATAACGCAACATATATGGTCCATACAGAGGTTCTCAACTCTGGCCCTCGAGGTCCAGTTTCCTGCAGAGTTTAGCTCCACCAACCCTAATTAAACACACCTGAACAAGCAAATCAAGGTCTTCAGGATTACTAGAAAGTTAAAGGCAGTGAGTTTGATCAAAGTTGGAGCTAAACTCTGCAGGAAAGTGGACCACGAGGGCCACAGTTGAGAAGCCCTACATGGTCTAGCATAATGTTATCTGATATGTCAAACCAGTTGCTGTTACAAATGGTACAGATCATCCTTTTACAACTAAATGTGTTATTTATATCAATTTAAATGAATAATCATTTTTTAAAATAAAAACATAATAGAGCTTAAAGGATATTGTGCACTTCCAGAATGCAAATTATGTCATCATTTACTCACCCTCCACTTGTTCCAAACCTGTATGAGTGTCTTTCTTCTGTTGAACACAAAAGATGATATTTTGAAAAATGTTGATATCCAAAAAGTTGATGGGCACCATTCCATAGTATTTATTTTTCTACTGAATGGTGCCCATCAACTGTTCGGATCCTAAAAAAAATGTTAACATTCAAAGAAACTCAAACAGGTTTGGAACAAGTGGAGGGGGAGTAAATGATGACAGAATTTTCATTCTGGAAGTGAATTTATCCTTTAATAATGTGAGTCATATTATATATATATATATAGCCTACAGGCCTCAATCAATAATCTACAAAACCCGTACAAAGATTTAAAAAACTAATCTACTAAGAGTAGCCTATGTTGTTAAACAATTATTACAAAATTATATAGAAATGCATAAATAGGGCGATTTCTGACTCTTGTTTGAGTTGATGAACCATGGTTGGCCAGGCTTTTTTTTTTAATTAATTAAAAAAATTGTAGTAGCCTATTTTTCTTATGCACCGAACACTATAATGATGTGAAAATACTCGATACTTACAAAACTTACATGTTGGGTCTCAGGATGATTTGAACCCGTAAACGTTGATATTACGATAATGTTTGTCAGCAACTTGAGCACTAAACACGACCAGTGTATCTCATTGTATCTGACTCGTACTGTTTTAAGGTTCTGCGCGAGTTTTGCGCAGAGCGGATGCGCATGAACACACATCAGCGGTCTTATTATCATCACTGAGGAGCCGTGAAAACATTATTGTGTTCATCTGTGTCGAGCAAATTCTAACGTTTCCGATCAATTTGAGTCAATAAACGAACAATGAGTGATCGTCCGGTGACTAGCAGATGAGCCATATCTGATCGTCGCTGAAAGAAAGAGGCGAAATTTCGGCTATTTTGTCAGGTGAGTGAACTGAAAGACATTCAGGCAAGACGCAGGAAAATCACCAAAAATATAAATATTTATTCGAGAAATCCAACTGATGGTGGTAATATGTCGTTTCACATGTTTGTCGTTTATAATTATTTCATTTGAAAGGGTTTAGGCACTGCGTTTTAATGTGAAATAAGGCTGTGCTTGCTGTGTTTTGGTCAGGGGTGTTGCCCTGTCTACAGGCCTCAATCTGATCGATCAATGATCGGATCTCAACAGCAGCACATACAAAGCCTCAAAAATCCCATTCATTAAGTGTGTGTAGTTAGATCATTTATTAATATGATGCCTACAAGTGTAAATAGGTAGATTTTTGTAATTCTTGTTTGAGTTGTTGAGGAATTTGGGCCTGTAATGCAATATAAAAACACATTTATCAGTTTAGCTGCTGAATGCAACCCAGTTTATTTAATCTAAATATGTAAATGTATTAATGGAATATAGTTTTATATATTGTTTTATTAAAAAATAATTAGATTTTCAGTCTTTCTGACCCTTTTTGCTTTTGTTGATGTAACATTTTAATTTAATTGTATTATTTAAAATGATTTAATGATTTTATTATTTTGTTGGTTTAAACCTTTTAAAAAACATAGCTAACATGGCTAATATTTATTTAAATATTTGTATATGAATAATTTATACAAATTATTTGACATCACTTTTTTCAATCTGTATTTATTTTTGTAAATACATTTAAAATTCATTAAAACATGATTTAAGTTTATGTATTTTAAATGTAAATTGTTAAATATTAATCTTTAATTGTATTATTTAAAACTATTATTGTAATTATATGATGGTTGCAACCGAACCAGTCAGACGTTTTAGGTTAACTTTTGTTAACAAATATAGGCTAACTGATTCTTTATGGCTGGTATTCCTATAAATGTTTGCAAAGAAATATTATATTTTATTATTGTTATGTGTTATTTATTATTTTGTCTATGTTTAACCTAAACTAATATAACATAAAAGTAATGTCTGATATTCTAGTATATTCTGTACCAGCATCATAAAATGTCCCGTAAATGGTTAGGTTGTAAAGGATTTGGGTCATGATATATTTAGATCATTTCTGCGTCTGATTTGGGCCGGTTGCCATCATGAATATGCACAGGCTGTCCTATCAAGCCAGATAGTTATGTAGGAGTCAGTTTTATAGATATGTGATGGTAAACAAAGATTTTAAGTGTAAACAACATATTCCTCTCATTCGTTGTGCTTCTGGTCTCACTTTGAATGTGCTTTCAAATATTAACAGCTCTTTTTATTTTATGTGTTGCACAAGGCTTTGGCCTTGACAGATATTGAAAGATAATACATCAGTGTTTCTCAACCCTGGTCCTGAGCGCCCCCCAGCACTGCACATTTTGTGTGTCTCCCTAATCAAACACACCTGATTCAACTCATTAGCTCATTAAAAGAAACTCCAGGACCTGAAATGGGTGTGTCAGATAAGGGAGACATACAAAATGTGCAGTGTTGGGGGGCGCTCAGGACCAGGGTTGAGAAACACTGTAATACATGAATGGCACTCTTTCTTGTTAAAGTGGAGTAATACTTGTCAGATGAGAGACTGGAAATGCAAGAGCTTTAATCATACAGAGCAACAATGAACAAAGAACTCAAGCAAGTGCTGTTTACTCGTGACTTTTGTCGACTTGAGCAACATAGTTTGGTAAACAGTGCCCCGTTTGTTACATCTGCTTATGTACCGCTGACGTTAGCTTGTGTAGGCAGCACATTTCTCCAAACTTGTTTTTCCATGCATTTTCTCCTGTGAAATAATTGTATTTTCATTTTCTTCACAGCATGGCTAGTTGCGGCGAGGTTAATCTTTCCATGGACTCCCTGACTTCAGGCAAGAAGGTGAGTGGGGAGTCTGTGATGGAGGGAAGTCCATCCCCTTCGTCTCCTTCGCTGCCCATTCCGGAGTGTGCAATCTGCCTGCAGAGCTGCGTCCATCCCGTACGCCTGCCATGCCACCATATTTTCTGCTTCCTATGCGTAAAAGGAGCTTCCTGGCACAGCAAACGCTGCGCCCTCTGTAGAGGGGAGGTGCCCGAGGACTTCCTGGAGCGTCCCACTTTGCTCTCGCCTGAAGAGCTGAAGGCTTCGGCGACTGGCGGACGCGGTACGGGGACTGGTGGCCATGCGTGGTACTACGAGGGGCGTAACGGATGGTGGCAGTACGACGAGCGTACTAGCCGAGAGCTAGAGGACGCCTTCAGCAAGGGCAAGAAGAGCGCCGAGATGCTGATCGCCGGCTTCCTGTACGTGGCCGACTTGGAGAACATGGTGCAGTACAGGAGGAATGAACACGGCCGCAGGCGGAGGATGAAGAGGGATGTGGTGGATATCCCTAAGAAAGGTGTGGCCGGATTAAGACTCGATCCAGATCCCAATCCCAGTCCTGCAGCAGGAACAGCTCCTGCAGCACCCGCAGTTGAGGATTTAAACGGAAGCATTGATGGCGCCACAGCGGAGCGAGAGAGTTCAGCAGATGGAGCGGACACTGGAGTCAGCAGAGGACGTCCTCAAGGCATCTTTGCTTCTGCTCCCGTAAGGCCGCCAACTGTCTTGGGTGGTCACCTGACCAGCCCTGCTTCCTCCAGTGATATTCAGCTTGTACAGGCTCTCTCCCAACTCAATATGAACCCCGCTGAGCAAGAACCAGAAGAGGAAGACGCAGACGACGAAGACGATTCGGCCGCTCCGGTCCCATCAGGGTACGAATCAGAGTCTGGCACGAGTGAGGATGAAGATGAGCAGGCTGGGGACGAAGGTGAAGATGAGCACACAGAAGGCTCCCAGGGTAGGCATAGACTGCATCAGTTGGACAGACCGTCCCCTGGTGGTGGCCCTGCGCATAGCAGTGATCGCTCTGGGTGCCCCGACGGTCAGTGCACCATTACAAAGGTCTGACCGCAGCACAACTACAGAACTCCTACCCAACTCCCACAACCACTGGGTATTTCTAACCAATCTCTGAAATGCAAAAAATGAAAGAATAAACCTTACAAATCATTGAAACACGGTCTTAAATAAGGTTGGAGGCTAGGGACGGATGGTTTTAGTGTAAGAATAGTGCTTGTCTCTTTCAGTCTTAGAGGACTGTACCAGGGCTGTACTCTTTAATGGAAATTACAGGCAAAACTACAATAAACTTGCTTTTATGATGCCTAGAATACTGTAAATTGGTCCAGCCATTACACTTTCATTTGCATTCTTGTAATAGAAAATAAAAGTTTTAACCTTGAAATTAAAAGAAAAACGGTATAAAATATAAATTTGCACAAGCCTATTTTTAACCTTATATGACCATTGAGATTTTTGTGTTTTTATAACAAGTTAGCACATTTCATTCTAAATTCTCATTACTCTAATGCATTTGTCTTATTAGTTATTAATCTCAATGCTGATTTTCACTTTTTTTTTTTGACTGTGATACTGAGATTTGTGTAAAAATGGTATTTATTATATTGCATTAATGAGAATTTAGGGGGGGGAATTTGCTTAATTGTGCACAATGCAAATAAATCTTAATGATCTACAATACAGGCTTCATTTCATCATGTATTAAAAAAAAAAAAAAAAAAGATTTTTTTTTTTCTTTTGACTTTGAGGTGAAATTTGACGCAAACATGTTCTTGAGATTCCTGTTTTCCTGTCCTGAGATTTCATTACATCTAGCATGGCTCAACACCATTATCCAGTGGTTATGGAGTCATACAGTAATGAAGTTAAAATCTTTTCATAAAAATATGCCATATCAACTTTTACCCTGAGGCGTCTTCAATGCCATCAAAAAACAATTGCTAAAATAAAATTGCATCTCTTGGTAGGAAGTCCATATATATTGTGTCTTTACTAGTTTTATTGTTTTGAATATCACAATTATGCTGTAGATCAAAATGCCTGACTATATTTTGCGAACAGTATTTTCATGGAAATGTAAAACATTTTGTAAATCACCACCTGGTACAGAGCCTTCTAGATCTTCAACAAGTGGTAAGAAAGCATCAGTTTTTTTTTTTTTTGGTGAAATGACAAACATTAGATGCAAAACCAGCATAATTTCAAATGCAAAACCTAACGAGAAAATAATTTATTGTAGTTTTGCCAAGGATTCCTCTTTAGCACGCTCTAGTCATTAGAAAACCTTCAGTCATCTTACATTTACTACTGCTAGTGTTTCATGGTGTGCGGTTTAAAACACTTTTAACGGTGTGTGTGTGCATTTGCCTTTGTTTTAAGCAACTTGTCTTTTATTCTTCTGTCTCATCTTGGTGTGCTTTATCTGTTTCGTGGATTTGCGTGTGTTGCTGTGAGCGAGGATGGAGCCCTGGACTACGGCGCTTTGAACTCTGGGAAAGGGTTTTATCAGATATTGTAATTTGTAGTTGTAAACTAGTCCTCAGACTGCAGCACACCGGGTGAGTGAGGGGTTTTCAAGCATAGGTGTTCGATTTGACGTTTTTTTAAATTTTAATGTTATTTTCAATCCTGCTAATTCTCATCTCCATCTGTTCAGGTTCTTTGTTGTCAACAAAACAAAATTTAAATTTAAAATCAAGAATAACTTCTTTTTGCTGTATTTTTGTTTTAACTGTGTTGTTTTGTTACCAGATTTATCTGAGAAATAAAGTGTTGTCTGTTACCTGTCTTGAGATCAAACTGTCCTGATGTATATTTCTCAATTTAAGAAAGTTTACTTTACCTTAAAGAATGTTAATTATTTTGTATTTTTCCACCTACTAGTATTATGTATGGTCTAAACATGCTAAAACTAGAATTGGCCACCAACGCTCAGTTTTTAGAAATCAGCAGCAAGATTGTCAGGACTTTCATCAACATACAGTTGAAAGAACTGATTTGCAGATGTGAAACTCACCTTCTGAATAAGTTTTTCTAATATGGTTTAGAGACGCTATTAAAATATCTACAGTTCTTATAGGATTAGTTCTTCCTGAAAGGTTCTCACAGACTTTTGATTATTTTTTGCAGTGAACCGATTAACATCATGTGCACGCTGACTTCCAGAAACTGTAAAGCCAGCTGATTGGATTTGAGATGTTTAAGAAAGCTCTTGCTGTTTTTGTGTGCAATATGCAGATGATGCTGAAACTATCTGGTGGCAATCTACAATCTGTACTGGGTAAGATTTACACAAAGACTTTAGACTCAAGTTTTATTATAATTAATGTATGATAAACTTACTGATGCTGTATGTGAAAAAAAATCTTACTTTAAGAAGAAATTGCATAAGTTCCTTTCACAAAGTCAGCATCTTAAATTTAATTGTTAAAGGAATGGTTAACTTAAAAATGAAAATTTACTCACCCTCAGGCCATCCAAGATGTAGTCTGTTTTTTTTTTTTATCAGAACAGAACAGATTGGAGAAATTTAGCATTGTAAAATACCAGTACATAACCCATAATAACACTTCCTCCAGTGAAATAGTCCATTGACACTGTGGATTATTGTGATGTTTTTTTGTGAGATGATTGGACTCTCATTTTGACAGCACCCATTCACTGCAGAGGATCCGTTGGTGAGCAAGTGATGTAATGCTTAAATTTCTCTAAATCTGTTCCAGTGAGGAAGCAAACTTATCTGCATCTTGGATGACCTGAGGGTGAGTTAATTTTAAGAAAATTGTAATTTTGGGTGAACAATTCCTATAAGTTCAGTTACATAATGTTTACAGTTATGTTGATGTCTGCATCCTTTATATATATATGTTTTTGGTTTTTTTTAACAGTAACAGTATGCTGCTTCAGGAAATGCTGTGAATGTGTTGATTTTATTGGCTGTAAGTTGCTGTATTCCAACTTGAAAAAAAACATCTTTCCTAGCTATCAAACACTTCTGACAGAGTTTTCTCTGGTGTTTAGATGCCTTAAGCTTTTTCACCTTAAAGCGTGTAGCATCACCAAACAGAATAATAATCACTGTTTGCAAACAGGTTTCTCCAACAGTTTTCCTGACTGCCATTGGTTGGACAAACTGGTTATTCCTCCCTAAACTTGACTATTTAGTTGAGTGTTGTTGTGTCAGGCTCATTTTTTTGTGAGATGATTGGACTCTCATTTTGACAGCACCCATTCACTGCAGAGGATCCGTTGGTGAGCAAGTGATGTAATGCTTAAATTTCTCTAAATCTGTTCCAGTGAGGAAGCAAACTTATCTGCATCTTGGATGACCTGAGGGTGAGTTAATTTTAAGAAAATTGTAATTTTGGGTGAACAATTCCTATAAGTTCAGTTACATAATGTTTACAGTTATGTTGATGTCTGCATCCTTTAACTTTCACCATACATTGGTTTGTACATTGTGAGATAAGTTTCAGGATCACAAGTTTCAGGCCAGAAAAGTCCAATTTGTATTTCACTGGTTCTTCAAACTAGTTCACAAACTACACAAACTAATTTGTGTAACTGATGCAATAGGATATCATTTGCAAGACTGTCTGTACAGTATGGATAAGTGTGATTGTGAGAAATATAGTACAGAGAATATAGCCACGACAGTCTCATATTGCGGCAAAGATTCTGTTCTAGTCTTCAGACATAGTGGAGTCCAAGATGCATGAACCTAGGCGTCTCCCAGGACAGACCCCTGCGGCACTCTAGTAAACTCGTTAAACTGTCCGCAGTGACCCAAATGGCACACCCTTCCTCTTGTCCGCCAGACAGACATCCATCATTGCATCTCTATCCCACCACTACGGGGGGTTGGGGGGGGGGATCTACAGTAGCATCGCTCCTTGAATAGCAATAGGACTTTGTATAGACGCTGTTCACCTTCATAGCTTCAACCAAACTTGGCAGCCTGATATTTCAGGATGTGCTTTGGGCCTTTATGGGCTTACTTTGGGGATTGAAAATGTATTTATTGTGTGTGTGGATGTGGGTGTGTATTTGTCTCTGGCTGACGGTATTTAGCGAACATGTTGGCTCTGTGTCTGAGATGATCTCATCCAGTAATGTCTGTGTAATCATTAATAACTTTCATATGACACCTCACTGTGCTGATGACATCTCAGCTCATTTTCTGCTGTGCTCTGGTCACGGCGCCGGCAAGTATGCATGGGTCATTCCCCCAGATCAGATCACAGTCTGCTTTTTAACCAGTCAACGGCTTTAAAGGCACGATATCCAGGGTATAAGGCTGTCTATACATTCTATAAAAAGATCATTCAAAGTTGTAAATAAAACAGATATTTGGAGTATGTTTTACAATAAAATACTATTTCAGTCTTCCTTCTTAAAAAATGTTGTCAACTTACTTGCCATTTCTTTGTAATTCTTTGTGAAATTTACCAGCAAGTTCTGAGTAAATAAATTGTTTCACCACCAATTTTTTTGTTTAGTGTACACTGAAAAATTGGAATATGATTTACTTGGAAAAAAGCTAGTAATTTTCACTTAGGAATTGCTAGTAATTTTCACAAATAATTACAAGAAACGGCAACACACTGAATGCAACATAAAACTGAAATAGTATGTTCTTGTAAAACAATCTAATAATGTTTGTTTTATTTTCAACTTCAAAAAAATGTATGTATGTGTGTGTATATATATATATATATATATATATATATATATATATATAT